CCGTCGATGCCCCTCTCGGCTCTTCGGACCATTGTCTGATCCGGAGTGTGGTGCTACTCACGCTCCCCTCGCGGTTGCGTTCTGCAGGTTGCCGCCGTGTTTGGCATTACAGGTCGGTGGATTGGGACGGAATGTGGTCTTTCTTTGCATCCTACCCTTGGGGGCGGGTTTGCTTCTCGCCGGATGATCCCAGCGCTGTTGCTGACTCTGTCACTGATGTGGTCCTCCAGAGAATGGAACTATTTATTCCCTCATCTGTGATACCCATCGGAGGCAGCCTTGGTTTGGTCGCTCCTGTAAGACTGCATTACGCAATAAGCAGGAGTGTTATCAAGCCTGGGCTGCGGCTTCGGCGACTGGGGATGTAAACACCAGCACACTTAAAAAGAAGTATGACTTCGCCTCCAGGTCCTTCAAAAGAGTTATTGCCAAGGCAAAGTCAGAGCACATAGGCAGAATTGGCGAGAAACTAGTTCGCCTTCCTACGGGAACCCGTGCATTCTGATCTCTCGCCAAGGCTGTAAGCCATCACAACAGGGAGGACGACTCACTGGCCCAAGCCGCAAAAGATAAAGCCGACCTTTTAGGCTCCCTTTTTGCGTCCAACTCGACTCTTGATGACGGGGGGAAAACACCGCCGACCATCCCACGGTGTGAGTGCTCCATATCGGATTTGCTGTTCTCACAGCGGTCGGTTCGCAAAGCACTTCACTCCCTGGACATCCAGAAGTCGAGTGGGCCTGACGGAATCCCCCCAATTGTGCAGAGGACGTGTGCTCCGGAGTTGGCACCGGTCCTTACGCGTCTTTTCCGGTACTTCTACTCCCAAAGCGTAGTCCCGAATTCATGAAAGACAGCTTTTGTCCACCCGATCCCTAAAAAAGGCGACCGCTCAAACCCGTCCAACTATAGGCCTATCGCGATCACCTCCTTGTTCTTGTTTACCTGGTGATCTTCTGGTTTACCTGACCCATAGATGGGCGGAGGCAGTAGAGTCCAAGGGGGAGGCGTTGGCCGTTAGTCTGGACATTGCGAAGGCCTTCGATCGGGTTTGGCACAAAGCGCTTCTTTCGAAGCTCCCTTCCTATGGGCTTCCCGAGAAATTGTGCAATTGGATCACCAGCTTCCTTGCAGATCGGAGCATCAAGGTTGTTGTAGACGGTGCATGCTCGGACTACAAGCCTATTAACGCTGGTGTTCCACAAGGCTGTGTGCTATCACCAACGCTGTTTCTTCTGCATATCAATGATATGTTGCCAACTGGTAACATTCATTGCAATGCGGATGACAGCACTGGTGATGCTCTATACACCGGCCGTGCCAATATTTCTCGGAAAAACGTCGCCGAGTACCGGAACAAACTTGTGTCTGAAGTCGAGTCTTTGCTGAACAAAGCCTCGGATTGGGGGCGACTAAATCTAGTCCAGTTTAATCCTCAGAAGACACAAGTTTGCGCGTTTACTGCTAAAAAGAACCCCTTTGTCGTATCTCCTCAGTTTCAAGGCACTCCCCTTCTTGCCTCAGCCAGTATCGAAATCCTCGGAGTCGACATATCGAGTGACGTGCAGTTTCGTGGTCACTTGGAAGAGAAGGCCAAATTGGCCTCTAAAAAGCTTGGCGAGCTCAGCAGAATGGGACAGTATTTCATGCCGGCACACCGCCTGCAACTTTACAAGGCGCAGGTTCGGCCTCACATGGAATACTGTTCCCATCTCTGGGCAGGGGCTCCCCAGTGCCAGCTCCTTCCACTTGACCGCATCCAGCGCAGTGCGGCTCGAATCGTCGACGACCGAGCCCTTTTCGATCGGCTCGATTAATTGGTACTGCGAAGAGATGTTGCACCCCTTTGCATTTTCTTTCGCATCTACCATGGGGAGTGCTCTGAGGAATTGTTCGGATTAATCCCAGCCGCCAAATTTCACGAACGCACATCGCGGCAGAACTCCTGATACCATCCACACCATCTGGATGATTGGCGGTCCACCACTGTGCGATTTAGAAGATGTTTTCTTCCTCGCACGACTTCCTTGTGGAATCGATTACCATCAGACCGGACCGATACGATTTATCCTTCAAGAAAAGAGCGTACTCCTTTTTAAAAGGCCGGCAACGCATCTGCAATTCCCTCCCTGGTGTTGCAGTTGTTCATGGGCGGTGGTAGTCACTTACCATCAGGTGAGCCGCATGCTCGTTTGCCCACTCTTCTATAAAAAAAATTTGAAAGATACGTCAGCAGGGTTAGCAAAGTTAACTTTCTACAATCGTTAACGTTAATAGAAAACATTAAAAATACTATTATTTTTAAGGCATGTAACTTATCGTAGATTCTATAATCTACGATAATTCACATGCCTCAAAAATTTAAAAATAATATTCTATATTCGACATCAAGTCATGGGACGCTACGCTTATATTCTAGTAGAAAATGTATATTTCTTACTTCGGCAAAGTAAAAGCTGACTTATGGTTTGCACATATATGTATTGCCCTAGCCCAGTGGTCGGCAAAGTGCGGCTCCAGAGCCGCATGTGGCTCTTTGGCTCCTTAAGTGTGGCTCTGGCACAAATATCCACGGAAGGCGCAATAATATTTTCATTTAAAAAAACTTGGTAAGAAATTAACATGGCTACCAAAAAAAGCAAAGACAAACGGAAGATGAAAACCGCGAATTTATAGTTGAGTGGACCGAGAATTTGCGTTTATTCAAAACTTGAATGGATTTCCGACGTCTTATTTGTAAGGAGAAATTCGCTCATAACAAGAAGTCAAATTTAGAGAGACACTACAATAAAGCATGCGTCATTTAGCACCAAATATCCTACCGGTGATGCAAGGAAGAAAGCAGTTGAGGAACTTCAGACGAGTCAAGAGTCGTCAACTTCTATGTTTAATAACTGGATGCAAACTTCCATTAATATTAATATGGCAAGTTTTGTTTTTAGCCAAGAGATTGTTAAGAGAGGGAAACAGTACATAGACGGCGAATGCATAAAAAAATGTTTTATAAATGCATCCGAAGAGATATTTCGGGATTTTAAGAACAAAGCAGATATTCTGAAAAGAATTAAAGAGCTACCATTGTCTGCCAAAATCATTAATAATAGAAAAATTAAAATGTGTTCGCCACCCAGCATATCGAAAATCTGAAATTGGTTTCAGCTTTATCAATAGCAGTTGACAAGTCTTGTTACATAAATTATACAGCGCAAGTTTAACTTTTCTGCCGACTTCCAAAAAGGAGACGGTACTCAATTCGTCTGTATATTTTTTTGTGTGTTACTTCATAACTTTTAACTGGGTGAACCGATTTTGATGATTCTTTTTTATTTGAAAGCTGGTACTTTTCGTGTGGTCCCATATGAATTTGATCAAGGTGAGACCAATAGTTTTTGAGTTATTCTTAATAATTTATATTGAAGTCGGCAGTACAAAATTTTTAATTTTAATTTATTGTAAGATTTATGTCTCATTCAGGCTCTAAAGAAGATCTTTTAAGATTATTGCCACTAAAAGGAGAGACGCGTGGAGAAGATATCGCAAATGCTGTAATTGAGTGTATGGATAAATATCATATTCCCCTTGATAATATTGGGTCGATTTCAACAGATGGGGCCAAAAGTATGGCCGGCGTAAGCAAAGGGTTTGTTGCTATTTTGAAAAAAAAAATAATTACAAGCTACTTGTTTGCCATTGTATCATTCACCAAGAAGCGCTTTGTGCACAAAACATTTTCGGATGAAATTTGAAAAGTTATGCAATTTTTAGCATTTCTCTTTGAGAAGGGCGTTCACTATCCAGAACTAACAGACAAAAATCCAAAACTTCTATTTCATGGTAGACGTTACGTCTCATCTAAACCTGGTTAATCGTTAACTAAATTTTTCCATGGACGTCAGCTTAATCGTAAAAAATCGTAAAGAATCGTCGACGTTAGAAGAAGTAAATAAAATTCGAAAAAAAATTATCTATTTTGCTCAAGATTTTGTTAGTGAAACATTGTTTCACTTTCCGAGCCTGCTGTAGCAAACACCATTTTAAAACAATAATTTTAAATATGAGGAAAGCATTACTCAGGAGGTTTCAGGAATTTAAAAACAGCAGAGCAACTTTAGCATTTGTCAAAAATCTTAATGGTACGATAACAGAGTTGAAATTTTCTCCTTTTGAAATTGACGTTGGTAGCTTTGAAATACAATTTTGATGCATTTAAAAAACAAGGAGATATGGTGCTCTAAATTCGAACGTATAATGTGAACGTGAAAATGTGTTGAATTAGAAATATTAGAGAAAAAACTATGTGATCTTAGTTCACAAGTTGTCTGCTTTGAATGACCTGGAGAAGGAAGAAATGATCATTTTCAACGCTTGGAATAGTATTCCTGACTTTTACGATCACCTGAAAAAGCTCGTGTTTGCTGTTCTTTCCCTTTTCGATTCTACATATATATGCGAACAATCTTTTACAAGCATGAACATTATCAAGAGTAAACTGAGAAGTCGTCTTATTGATGAGAACTTGGAATCATGCCTAAAATTAAAACAACATACAAACTTGATTTATTCAAAGTTTCACACACACAACAAGCACATTGTTCGCATTAATATTTATTAAATATGATATTTAGTTTTATTTTGTGTACTACTTATTTAGTGTATAAAAGTTTACTAAACAAGCAGATTTGGCTTCCAATTTTTTTTAAATTGTTGTAATGTTCAAATTTGGCTCTTTGGCTAATAAGTTTGCCGACCACTGCCCTAGCCATTCAGGTTATCTATATATTACATACGTATCATTCAATGTGTACCTATGTTCTAAATTCGTTACAGAACTTAGTCAATCGAGTAAAAACCGGTGAATTAGGTTACTATTTGCAATTAGGGTTTATCAGACTTTTTTATATATCTGTTGTCTGCTTACGAAATATAATGCTCCAATCTGTAAGAACTACAACATCACTCACTCATGTTAGTTGTAAAGGAAAATATTAAATGCGGTACATAGATTGTTTAAATATTTTATTGTTTAGTAATGTTTTATTGGGTATTATGCAATATAAGTAGGTACACATATTTAGAGCTATGCATCTGTATCACCATACAAGTGGTTCTATTTACTTAATATTACTATAACATGTATTTCTCTCGCAAAAGTAAAATTCTATAAGGATTTCTTTCTTATTGGTTTTGAAATAAAATAAACAAATCACATATTCAGTTGTTTATTATCTATACTGTACTCAAAATTGATCCGAAGATCACATCACATAGTAATTTCATAAATAATATTACAATGTCATGTACTTTCTGTGATTGCTCATGAATAAAAAAATGTTCACAATATTATCAATACTTTGTTCACTGGACCGGTTCACCTTTAGTAGATTGCACCTACTACATTAATAAGATACATTACTTAGGTACTCAAAGAACTTACAGTGTACTTGATGAGAGATATATAATAACCAATTATTGTGTTGCAGTTCATTTTTTTTTGTTTATATATTTACAGTTTTACATTTTTTTTTTGTGATTTACAAATAAATTCTTGAATATTTAATTAGGTCATCATTATTCCTTTTGGATTTATAATAACAGTACTTTATAGTTAAAAATATCACAAAAATGAAATATACTATGTGTAAGACACACGCAACATTAAAAATACAACAAAAAGAAAAATATAAAATCCACTAGAAACCTTGGGCCTGAAGAGTCCCTTCTAAACAGGAAGGATACTTTCGATGTTTAAATCTTTCATAACGGCAATTTAATACCATAATTATAATTATCACACTAATTAATTATAAAATTAATCGATTGTCTTACAATAAATGCGTCAGATCATAAAATTTTGATTAAAAAATTAAAGTCAACAAATAATTCAGGAAACGATAAATTTCAACAAAAATAAAATGACAAGTTATTTATTTAGGACTCAAGTGCCGTATTGATAAAAGCGAACTGTTCCCCGGGCTCCGCACGCAGCTCGGCCCGACAACAACCAACACAAACTAACGCGACCGCTTCCTAACGAGTTTGACTCCGCCCTTCCGCTATTCTTCTTTTATCGATATGGCATTCCACTTATGATACGACAATAAATATAACGCGCTTACACATTAATCACTTCTTTAATTCCGACGCTAGGAATTATTTAATAATATATACCTAAAAATATAATCACGGCACAAGTATCCCTCCGACTAAATTACTAACGTAGTGTCACTTTATCAGGATTTAGAATCAAATATGTATTATGTATCTTAAATATTTCATTATTAATATATCATTATCAAAATATCCACTAAATGGGAGGAATAAATCAAATTATTAATATTTTATTCTAACATTAATCGCATGACTGATCAACAAAAAGGATATGGACTAGGAATTCTATTAGGCATCGGGCTTCCATGCCTCGAGGCGCCTGCGTCTCGTGGCGTCCGGACACGGGGACGACACGGGGACGACGCGGGCGCCTGCCTCTCTCTATCCGCATATCACCTCTACATACATACGACGAGTTAAATTTGATCAAAATTTTAATACTGTTTATGTCAAAAACAATATACGTAGCTGTTACATGTTCCGAGCCCATCGAGAGGTAAGTCGGACTCGATCGTCGGTCTTTATTTTGTGCTTCTATAGACGGGAATCGATCAAAAAGAATGAGAATCTAGCAAAATCTATCTGGAATAAAAGCCGATCTTGTTTCTATTCTATTAAAAAGTTAAATAGCTTGGAAGTATGCTTTCATCGTTTTAATATTGTCCGATAACTTTCATTGGATTTCGAATGTCTGCCCACTATCACTCTACGAGTGTCGTGATCTACGCTAATGTGAGAAATGGACGACGCGACGCAACGCGGCGCAACGACCGTGCCAGCGGTTTCGCGCAGCCGTTTGTTCGCGTTCTGTCACATTCTCTTTTGGCTGTTGCCTCTGCAGCACAGATTAACACCCTTCCAACAGACACATACCAAAAATTTAGTAATAGAAAAAGATTTATCCCTACATAATCTATTTATCGTAACTTCTTTCCGCCTTTACTGTAACCTGGCCATTGGTGCACCCATCCAAAAGACAATAAGATGAATCGCGATCAATTCCACGCGACACTGACTGCAGGATGCGCCGCTCGACGAAACGTGCATTGTGCTCCGGCGTCAAAAGTTTTAGTGCCGAAGGAGAAAAGCGGCTACTCTATTGGTGTTTCATTACTGATTCACTTAATCTAACCTAGTGTAAAACTTGTCATCTATAAACATAATTCCATAACGTACATAAAAAGTAACATAACTCTCACAAAAATGCTCATATTAGGAGTGGGGTGACGCAACTTTTGACACGAGCGACCGACACCACCCGCTAGAGTATTTATAGCCTATATACAACAAATTAGCGCGGGCCAAATGGCATACGCACCGATCTTTACAGGAACTTATATCGTTTCTTAAAAAAAATAATATACATTAGTAATAAAACATTTTAAACCTCACTAACTACTATTCGACGATCTCGATAAAATTATTCAAACGGCTCCGGATCTCGAAATCTACTCATATCACAATCGCATGACCGTGCCTGAGAATCATATCCCGCTACTTATGTACACACTCTTTCCCGAGGACTTGCTCGCAATCCCGGCGGGAATAAGCCGCGGGCAATGGCGACGCGGCTCGTTCCCGCCGCTCTAAACTAACCAACACAAAGCTATAACCTATCACCACCTCCTTGAGGGAGCGGCATTGCCTTCCGGCCGAAGTTGCCTTTCCCGAGTGTGTCAGAGGCGCGATCGATATGGATAACGCGGGGCGTGGGCGACCTTTGGAGCGGGGCTGGAGAGAGGGTCGGGGGACGGGCCGCGACGAGGTATGGAGGATGCAAAATGAAGGGGGGTGGGGTGGTGGTTGTGGTAGTGAGGGGTGAGGGGTGAGGGTGCGGTGAATGGGATTCAGAGATTAGGTTAAGGAGGGCGTAGAGCTGGCGGCAGTTGTACGGGGATGTGGTAGTAGCGGCAGGCAGCGCGGCGGCACGTGCCGGCGGCGGCGTCGCGGCACACCACCACGCGGCACCCCACCACCTGCAGCCCGCACCCTGCCAACCGACACACGGCTCACTTATACCTATACCTGCAATCTTATATAAGACAATTTTTATAACGAGACATCCCTCATAAGAAGCACATTTTTGATATGTTTAACAGACAGTTGTTGTTAAAACAATTTATACAGGCATGCAAGATAGCCACATCTTGATCCATTTATTTCCCTCGGTCGCCTTTTACATAGGACGATGTGGGGCTGTGAATGTTCTTACACCAATACTACAAATTCAAGATAATTTAATTTATGACGGTAGTGTAAATGTGTAAATCTGTTTAATGCCGTGTTATAAAAATATAAACCGATTTCAGATATCGGATCTGTTTAAATTTATTTAAGAGCAGTGTGACCATACTCTATTATTAAATAAAAACATTAAAAATATTTTGTAATAGACAAAAAAAGTGTAATTGATAACTGCCTTCTTGTTCAAGTTCATAAGCTGCTATAAGGCTTAGTGCTCGCCGTAAAAACCCGGCAACCTGTGTTCGAGCTCCGCTAGCGCCAAACAATGAAATTGTTCATTGAAATTTTAATTGCTACCACCATGTGTCCGGCGGTAAAGGAAAACATCGTGAGCAAGTCAGCATATCTATACAAATAAATAAAATTGAAGTTCTGTTTGTAATGTCAAAATTACAGTTTTTTACTAAATGCATATGAAAGTAAATACGATACCTATAACTAAAATACAATGTTTAAAATTTTTGTCTGTCTGTCTGTCTGTTTGTTCCGGGTAATCTCCGAAACGGCTGGACCGATTTTGACGGGACTTTCACTGGCAGATAGCTGATTTCATAAGGAGTAACTTAGGCTACTTTTATTTTAGAAAAAGAATCAGGGTTCCGCGCAGAAACATAAAAACCCTAACACGCGAACGAAGTCGCGGGGAACAGCTAGTCTGAGATATAAATAAATATTCCGAAGATATGTGAAGTTCGCCTACATTCGTTGAGGAAATGAGAAGAATCCTGTGCCATGTAGTGGGACTGTTTGAAAAAGCGATTTCTGTTTATTATTATTACTAAATTATTTTTGTTGAAACTATGAACATCCCTCCGGTTATCCGTTTCTTTAAACAATGTTTTAATTAATATGAAGAAGTGTTTTTTTTTAATTGCTCTTGTATTTATTTTCATTGCATTTAGATGCTAAGAAATGTTAAGAAATATCAATGTTTATCGGTAGTCGGACATAGGTAATCGGGCAGTAGCACATTGTTTATAACCACTCAGTGATAAAAAAACTACGATTGCCAACCCGCCTACCAAGCTCCGTAACTATGGCAAATATCCCCCCCTCCCCCATGAAGCAATTGGCGTTCAGCAGTGGACTTTCGGTAGGCTGTAATGAATGAATGAATGAGTAAAAACATTCTTTTTGACAATTGACAGTAGGTTAATGCATATGATAGCATGTTTTCGAAGCAAAAGCATGCTAAATTAATATATTAATGATGAACTATATATAATAACTTTTAGTATTGTCAACTATCGCGGACGTTGACTCCAGATATGTATAATAATAAGTGACCAATACAGTGTAGTTCAATGTGAATTGATACTGATAAGTGTGTGTTGTCTTAGTGAAAGTAGTTCTTTTTTATATTTTTTGCCAATGCTACATATTTAAATATGTTTGGAATTACAGATGCCTCGTTATAATAATTGACTTATATAGTACAGATATTTACACGTAAAAGAACAATACATTTCTACAGCTACTTTTAATCTAAATCTATAGTTTAGGAGTAACAACACCATTATTTTAAACTAAAAAGAGAAAACAATGATAAAAAAATAGGTTTACTATTTCTAAATATTATGATCTACAAAAATGTATATAACCACTAAGAATAATTGGTTCTACATAAGTATAAAACGTGTAATCATGCATAAATAAGAGGACAGGGGAATAATTTTTGTAACCGAGTAATATTGCATTATATTTCCTTTAATTATATAAACAACGTTTTGACATGCGTGTCTTTTCGAATCAGATTATATATATTAGATAAAATAGTCAGTATCATACCTTCACGAATATGAACGAATCTGCAGGTAGGTCTGGTACATCCTTGTCGATTAAAATCTTGGCACACCGGGAGGGTGTCCAGTAACTGAAAAATATAACAACAAAATTAGTTTTCATTGTTCAAAAAGTTATTACTTCATACAGCCATACAGTTACCACCATAACAATTCCAATTAGTACCTTGTTTATAACCTTCGTAAGTTTGCCTTAATTTATAAGTCAGCTGGTTAAAAGTTAATTTGATAACATTATGTCATTTCAAATATTGAACCATATTCTGTAATTCATTCAGTTTCATTGTAACCACGAAATATATAGTTTCGCTTTAGCAATCAATCCGCTCGGTTATAAATATTGCGACGTAGCTATTGCACATTTTTGTTATGGTATCACTGCATGACTGTCGAAATAATTTAAATCTATTTCATAAACAGTCGAGTCATTGTTTTTACGAATAATGAAGTTACTAGTAATATATAAATGAACAAAAAGTGTCCTGTATGTGGATTCTGACGGTTTATGAATTGTTAAATGTTAATAGTGTTAATGCTAACTCTATGTCATCACTTTGTGGACATTCATACGTCTGACACTCAAAAGTATCTTCATTGCACAGCCTTCTGAAAAAATTGCTGAGATAGTTTTTGTAATATCAAAGAGCTTAGTTTAAATAAAGTGCCGCACATATCATATAACTATTAGAAACCTTATCTATTACTTGCCCGGGTATGTCAATATTATTTATCCAATAATTAGCAAATGCGTGTGTAGTTTCTCAATCGCTACAAACTGTTACAAAACAAAATATGAAACACGGAAGGCGATACTGCTCGAAATCAAATCTTGTTGCTGCTTCAATATTACAAGAACTTTACAAGATTCGTTGCACAATATGATTGTACCTTCCAAGCATTCTTTCAATATCGTGTGCGCTGGTAGAGGCGTGTCACTTTTATATTGTAACATCTGTCGGTGTAAAACAACTATACACACCATTCACACATTGCGAGGCCGGGCTTGTCTGTTATGTTTTTAACGAGTTCCGTAACCGTAGGAGAGTGTTAAATTACGCTGTATTATGCACATAGTAGGAATGAATATATAATATCTAAATGGCATGCAGAACGCTTGAAATATAATCATTATTGCGCAGCCAATCTTATTTAAGCGTGACTATATTTTACAAAAAAGCTTAAGCATGATGCTAGACAAGTTTTACCAGGGCGAGGGCGGTCTATAGGTCGGTAGCGTCCAAAGTGTACCCATAAATACCAACTGTTGCTAAGCTAAGAGGCTGTGTGGGGAGGTTAACGACAAGTGTCTGCGTCGGCTGTGATGATGCTAGTTCTTCGAACGTTCTCAGTAGAGGAACGAGGGCAGTCATGCTCGTCGGTAGGTAGGCATGGTAACAATGTAAAAAGACAAATTAAAATTATACCTTTAGCTTACATGACAGTTCTGGACGTGACATGTTAGTGGTAGTACAAACTGCAACATAATGACCATTAGAGAGTGCGGTTACTGTACGAAAAAACAAAAGAAAACCAAGTATATTAATTACGACTACAGTGAGTACTTTCAAGAAAGCATCAGAGAGGCCTCGACAAGTCGTAAGCAGGAACGGAAGCCGCATAGCGAAGCACTTAAGCATTGTCGCAAAGAAAAGTCGAAGTGGATAATTGGTCGAAATACAAAGAGAACACTGTGACTTCATTGAAGTGCCAATTATGTTGGTTTTGTTACAAAGACCATCACCTCGAGTTTTCTTACTTCACCACCGTTTCAACTACCAACGCATGTAAAAATATTAAGGTAAGCTTTGTGAATTAAAATTAACAAAAAAAGACCCCCTTGTTGGTGGTTGATAGTTGACACAAGCGGAAGGTGAATTTTGAAATTCTGTTAAAAAGCTAATTACATACAAAAATGGTCAACTTTAAATAATTAATATCAAAATTCCAAAAATTATTTACAAAATTTAAAATATTTTAATTCACTTTTTAACAGAATAATAACGGCTTCGTTAATAGTTTTTTTTTTAAATATTGTCTTTACTGAAACACGCAGATTTTGGGCGTAAAACAATTAGGATGTCTAAAAATTTCATATTGAATGGTTCACTTGAGCCATGCATTCAGTAAGCGGTGTTTCAGTATAGGCTTTTAACAATAGGAAATCACTTATACTGAGGATATTTATAGTAAGCTGATTATATCTTACCGGGTGTAAGCAAGGCAATACTGTAGAGTGACTTCTTCCACATTTTTGAAAGCAAGTATGTCTCGCTATACAAAACTAAAATAGACAAGTAAGTTGTAGCATCAACTGTTCGGTATATTAAAATTTTATACAGTTACAACAGCACAATGACTGAAATGATTGATGTGAATGATGACGCTGGTAAATAATATGAATTGCTTTAAGCAATGCTTTTGGTTCCGTATTTTCCGCCAAGTCAAATTCACAGCGTGTCCGAATAGTGTGTCGCATTACGCAATACTGGCTGGATGTCGAAAATGAAATTATTTGTAGTAAATAAATAAAAAATACTTCAACATATTGTCAGTTATTTTTTACAAAAAAAATTTTGATTCGATATTTTTTTTCTTTTTGATATTCCGTATAGTACTTTTTTGCGAGACTAGTTGGCTGGTTAGTTCATTCCACCAAGCGTACCTGGTACCTGATACGCGTACCCTTAATGCAGATTAAAAAGTAGTAACGCGCATATTTAAAGCTCGCAAATAAGCGCAAAAAATAAGTCTTTTGAGGCGAACCAAACAACTCCATTAAAGCGTCGAAGCAAGCTCCATAATTATAATAGGTTTATTATGGTATAATGCAGAGAAGTGAAGCCTGTGTACTTTACTCTAGTATTTAAATGATGTACAGACGTAAGAAAATTTACTATGCATCAAAAAATTAAACTTTGGTGTTGGTTCTTTTGCAAGAAATGAATATAGTTATATTACAGAATTAATTAAGTTTTAGTCATATATAGAGGTACGTATATAGGTGGATAAAGGTGAAATATAGCAGGTGGATATGCGGATAATCTACTGCTAGCGCTCTCGAGCCCGTGAACGAAGAAGTGGTTAAAAGCAGCTTCTCTACGGAGGAGGTCGCTTTCAACATATTATTTTATTTAGCGTTAATAAGCGTCGGGCGGAATCGGTCTGCGGAGTTGGAATGTAAGCGGTTGTAGTTTGTGGCACAAGCGTGCGGTTTGCGTTTGTGGCTTGCGGCACTGCGCGGTGCTTTCACGGCACACGTTACCTGTCCGCGATCGTCGGTGTACACCACATAGGGGGCGTTTGGCGGCGCACAGCCTTTCCGTTCCAATACAAAAAGCGACAAAAGATTTGCAATGCGGACGACAGCCGAAGCGGTCATTCGGAAGGCATGTAACAGAAAGCGTTAAAATAAATAAAAAGATAGTGCGACCGAAAGAAAATGTGCGATCGACGCTCGTCGATTGCCGCGGCACTACTGATGAAAAAATTCGGCACACATAGCACAAACAGGGAGCCACTAGAATAATGAGTATAATACCTGATGAGCCAAACGTACAGGGGTGGTGGATTCTATTCCATGCGAAAATTAGAAGGCGGCGGTGTTAGGTGCTGGCCTGCTGCGGCAAGCCGGTAACCACTAGGTACTCGATCGACACAATGGCCAAAGCGCACCCGTGCGGAGCTCCTCGAGAATAAGCGTGTACGTAGCGGGAAACGGGATCGACGGACCAAGCGCTCAACTCTCAGTACGACGATACTCACGATTAACGGCGATCGACAAGAGGTAATAAAAAAACGTACAGTCATGCAGTTCAAGCGTTATTATTACCGGGATCGTTGATACGAGAAATATACACGCATAAGATAATATAACGGTAAGTGAGTAGATAGATACACAATCGAATAGTTATAGCGTAAAACTACCGAGACATCCGCGAGTGTAGATTCGCTCGCTTCGTCCTTACAGTAATAGGTACAATACAAATGTGACAACACGCCTAGCGCTAACCGCCCCGACAGGCCGGGGCGAACACTCAGCCGCACACGTATGAGTCTCTAGGGGGAGACCCCGCGCCCCCCGCCCCCCCGACCGCGCCCCCCGACCGAAGCGTGCCCGCGCCCGCGCCCGCTTATGTCGTCTTCATCTTTTTGTAGGGGTTGACCGCGGCGGCGGCGGCTGCGGCAGCGGCGGCGGCTGCCGGTGGCGTGGGCGGCGGCATCGCGTACATGTACTGCGGCGGGTAGTAGCCGGGCATGGGCAGCGGCGGCCAGCCGCTCGGCCGCATCATCATGGGCGCGCGCATGAGCCCGGGCATGCCGGCGCGCGCCTTCAGCTGCTGGCTGTAGGCGGCGGCCGCGTGAGCCATCGCCGAGTGCTGCGCGGCGAGCGCCAGCGCCGCGGCGTAGTTCTTGTGCGCGACCTCCTTGGCGACGGCGGCGGCGTCGGGCGCGGCGGGCTCGGGCGGCGCGGGCGGGCTGGCGGGCTGCGGCGCGGGCGCGGGCGGCGCGGCCTGCGCGTGCTGCGCGAGCTGCGGCGCGGGCGGCCCGGCCGCCGGCGCGGGCCCGGCGCCGCCCGCGGACACGGACGCGGTCGGCGGGGCGGACGTCGCCGGCGCGGGGTACTCACATGACACGGGCACGAACGGCTGCTGCAGTTGCATCAGCTGCTGGTACGTGGTCGCCGGCTGGTACACCGGCATGCCGGCCTTGTCGGCGGCGGGCCGCTTGTACGGCACCACGCCGGGGAACGCCTGCAAGCGAACACTTTCAGATTAGTCACATGCTCCACATGTTAGACCACCAATAGAAAATAACTAATATATATATGTAATACAAGTAAGTAATATAAGTTAAGCGTAAATTAATGTATATTATGTATTGTGATGTAGGTACATGAAATGTAAGTTAAGTGTAAATTAATATCTACACTTCACTTACAATATGTATTTTGATTTTGACGAACATCTGTTTAGAGTGCGACCATATTAAGCGTAGTTTGCGACTGAAGGTTTGTTCAAATAAGTGTCCAACACAATTTTCAACAGAGTGGTCCAACACGCCTGCCGTACGCAGTTGGCGGCGAATCTCTTTACGTGACCATTCCTTTCTTTGACAGTAAATAACATTAAGAGCTAATTCAGTAAAACGGCCACTAACTACACGCCAAATAGAATCGCACATTTACATTTTGTCTGTATAGATACTTACGAAATTATCGTAATAGAAGGATCCGACGCTTTTCATGTCCATCTGAAACGAGAAACAGACGGTTGAATGGACGTTCTTGGGCGAGAGGGTTAGAGCGCGAGCGGACGGCGGCGGGCGGCGCGCGGGCGGGGGCGGCCGTCGCCGCGCGCCGCGTCCGCCGGCGGGGGAGGGGCGCGCGGGGGAGCGGGAGGAGCGTGCGGACGGGAGCGGGAGCGGGAGCGGAGGTGAAGCGTGCAAAGCTGGCGGTTATACCGGTGGCGGCTCGAGATCGGCGGGTGCCGGCCGCTTCTTGCCGGGCTCCGAGGTCGCGCTCGCCGCCGGCTGCTGGGCTGCGGCGGCCGTCTACGTGAAGCGAAGCGTCGCAGGACGGGACAGAAACAATAACGATGTAATAGATGCACAGAATACACCTAAAGCTCGGCGTAAGGTGATATTATGCGAAAGATAAAAAAAAATTAAAAGTGAAGCGTGAGTGCGACGGAAGCGTGGCGCGTGTCGACGCCGCGGCAAACTAAACAGATCAAGCTCTGCGAACATAAGCGGCGTCGCGGCGAGCGAGAACCAAGCAGAAGAAGAGATGCGAGCGCGAGCGAGCGAGGCGAGAGCGTGCAGCCAGGTGGCGTACCGCGCCGCGCGCCTGCGCCTTAAGGTGCGCCTGCAGGTGCAGGGGAGGGTGGAAATAGCGGCAGGGGTCTCGGACGCAGCGGCCCTTGACGGCGTCCATGCACACCGTGACACAGCCGTCGTCGTGCGCCACCACGGGCGGCGGCGGGTGCGCGAAGCGACACTCGGCCTCGGCGCGCTTGCACGCGCCGCGCTGGAACTCCCGGCACACCTGCACCACCACACACCTCACACCGTGCCTCGCCGCCGGGAGGACCACTGCCAGCCCATCGCCCTCCCCTAACCGACTACTCCCCTTTTCGCTCTATTTTGTTTTATTTGTTATTACTCGCCTTTAGAACGCGCCTACTGGATACTGTACATTATTTGAAATTGGCTATGTCAAGTGAGACTAACTTGTTAATTGATCTCGGTAAATGAGGATGGGGTTTTTGAATCTCCTTACGAAAGTATATTTTACAGTCAACGACAACAATCGACCTCAACCGGACGCCGCTTGAAATTGAGTTTAAAACTTAAGTATTGATTCAATTTATTTACGCATCCGTCGCATATTTATAGTTATATTTTTTTGGAAAAATTTTGTCTTAGATCGTTTTATGTTTAGGATATCTGGTTATCGGATATTAAGCGTTTGACACCACATTGCAAGCACAAATCGACAACTTAAATTTTCTTTTTAATTATTTTTTTAATTTTAAAAGCGCTTTTTGAAGGTTAATTTTTAAAGTAAAAATAAGTAAACTTAGGTAGGTAGTTTAATAATTGAAATCTAATATAATTGAGATAAAACATGAGTGTATAGAATTTGTCGAGATTGTACCAACAGTGTAAGGTGTGCATATTTCATTGGGAGAATAAGCGAGTGCTGCTCGCGAAGCGCGCGCGGAGACGGGTTGAGCCAGTGCGCCCACGCACCACAACACACGGGAACAGATCAAGGCTTTTAGCCGAACTTCGTAAAGGAGACCGACAATATTTAATGGATCAAAATAATACCATTCTTGTAATCCCTTACAGACTACATAAACATATTGTTGTAACAGACATAATTTAATACGTTCACAAATTTGTCGGTCCCCCACACACGTGGCAACATCAGAAAGCGCTACTCGGATAGGGGGAGAGAATAGTGTAATATGAAAGTGGAGCGGTTGTTACCTCAAGGCGGTCGGTGCGCGGCAGTTTTTGCTGCAGTACGGGCTGCTGCATGACGCCGAGTGGCGACGCGGCCGCAGCGGCCGGGTCATGACCCAGCATAGTCGGCACCAGTTGCGGTGCATAGTACTGTGCGTACGTCGACCCCACGCCCGGCACACCAGACAGATATGGCGATGTTGCCTGCACAGCATTATCCAACCACATGAGTACAATCCGTCCAAACTCAAGTATTACATCTCTAATAACATGAATTTATTCTTCCAAAAGCCTTTAGTAATCCATGGGCAAGCACAAATGTTAATAAAACAACAATACAGAAGCATTTGTTATACCAGTGACTTGCGATACAATACAGTGTTAATATTTCGAAAATAAACTTTAGCCAATATAAGCTTTTGCATGCATTAATAGACAATTTAAAATCATTAGATCGGTTAATAAAGCATACAGCTCTGTCCGTCTAGCTACCCACCGGCCACCACAGAGATATTTGGATAAAGGATTGGACAATAGGGGTACCCTATAGGTGAATTGAAATCATACTTTAGTGAATGTAACGTACAGAGTGGTATACGGGAAGGTGGCGCGAGGTAGCCGGCGGCGGTGCGAGGCGCTCGGCGGCTGTTACCTGCGGGGCGAGCAAGGCGAGACTGATGGGGTCCAGCGCGGTGAGGTGGCTCGCGGCCGCGCCCGCTCCGCTCACGCCGCCCACCTCGACACAAAACCACACAAACACGCTACTCATCGTGCGACGTTCGCCGGACGGTCCGTGCCCGAGTCCCTTCGACCTCGTCGTCGCTCCACGCACGAACACCGCGTGGTTTTATCTTTTATTGCTTGATATGCCTTTGTTTTTCAATCAAAGAGTTGTACGGGTCGTGCGAGTAGCGACACCGGGGTGAGTCGGGCCGCGACAGTAGCGAAAGTGAGAACAGTGAGGAGTACGATGTATCAGTGATTTAAATTTGCTTTACCACTTATACCCAGTTCATACAAATGTGAGTAAACATGCCACTTAAGGAACAAATTATAAAAACATGCTCAAGCAGTGAGGAGCGATCGGCCATCGATGGTGATGTTAAGTTGTGCCTGCTATTTAATCAACTATATTTATAAGTCACGTTTACAGAAACAAGTAGATTACCTACTTCTTATCTTATTTAGTACTGCCACCACTAGAAGCAAAACTTTAAATTGAAGCGGCAGAACTCTACTGAAGAGCAGTTGTACCACTTCGAAGAAAGTAAATTACCATTAACTCTCAACGTGTACATGACTAAGTTTCTAAGAAAAGTTCTCTATGTAATTGAGTTAATTTACTTACTAAAGTAAACCTTGCCGAGACATGTAACTACATATTTCAAATGCACTAGAGCAAATACTTGAAAACATGGTAAGGCACAACTTAAACGCGATGCTTTTATATCTCTACGTGTTTTATTAAATGAAACGCTCAAAAGATACAGGATAGCGAGTACACCGAAAGCTGCGTGTTGCGTGCACAGAGTACGTACCTAGCTATAGAGGACCGATCGCTCGAAGCCTTTTAGTGTAAATGGGCAATGGTACGGTACTCACCACGGCAGGGACCTGGCCAGGCAGCACCTGGCCGGGTGTCAGGCCCATTTGCTGCATTAAAGCGTTCTTCAGTGCTAGGTGATTTCGACCGTTGATAAGCAGCTGATCCTTGAGATGCTGCGGCGGGTGGAAATACTTGCAGGGCGGCTTTTCGCGGTTACACCGACCCTGGAAAAGTAAGATAGATCATATTTAATAAATGTCGACTTAATTACACGCAAGATCATTTTATGAATAAACTTCTTCATACGTTGTTACGTTGTCTAAACGCAATACTTTAATCAATATGGTCAATTATTCTGTCATATACCTATGAGGTTCCATATTATAAATGTGCGAAAATCTTTCTATACACCACAATTGCCATCGATTACTATTACACGGGTTAATTGTACTAAGATAGGCAAATCGAACAATTTTTCCTATAACCACATTTTCGGCGATGCGATGTCAAAATAATGTGTTCAGCACCACAGCTCTGGCTCGACTACGCTCGTTCATTTTCGGCGTCAATGAGGCGAGAGATAATTGCCTCTGAATCGAAGGCCTGCGCCGCACCCGTCTATGATGATTTATTTACATCCGCGTAATTAACTGTCGCACTACGTGATGGGAAGGGCTTCGCGGACTTTTTATCGCCGCACGCCGGAGCCTCCACGCCATATTTTATTCAGTGAAGAAAAAAGTGCTTATCGCAGTTTGTAAGAAAATACTTATTTACACAAACAAAATTCTTGCTGAATACTCGGCGCTCCAGTTGGGGACTCGTCTGCTGATAATGTCGGCGTAACACTCTAAGCAGTAGAGTGATTTATTGAATAACTCGGGTACCAGCGGGATTCGGTGTTAATAATAAAGAAGTAAAGTAAAATATTAAAAAGAAAACAAAAAAATAAGACCTGACTTATATAAGTTTATAGATATATCTATGATATTATAGCAAGTATAATATATACATAAAAGTATTAAAAAAAAATTCTGTTTGTACGACCGAATAATACTTGACATGTCATAGATGATTTCTGCAATGAAGCATAGATTATATTGAGTAAATTTGGGAACAACTTACGCTATTCATTCGTTACAGTTCTGGATTGACATGAAATTTAAAGTCCATAAAAACAAAGCTTATTTTTATTATCGTCTTCACTACTATTAGAATAGTAATTGAAAAACAATTGTTCGGTAATGTAAAGGCATAACTGATGCTTCTGCAACCGTTTAAAAGCGTTATTAATTTTCTCAACGTTTTCATTTCACGCGTGACGGACTTTCAATCACTTTGATGTGAAGACATATTATACGAATGACAGATTAAAACGTTTCAATAAAACATAAGTAAACAGTGTATTGTAGATGTTCAGCCTCTGGAATCATATGCAGCCCACTCCAAATTTTCCCAGTTATTAAACTTTGCCGATGCGTGCTACAACTAGCGAATGGAAGCAGTCGGCTACATTTAGATTAACTTGTTACTGGCAGGCATAATGTTAGTTGGACGGTCCTCTCTCAGTTAAGCTCGGGATAAAGTTATTATTTCCTGTTACTCCGCGACGTCTACTTCAACCGAGTTTCGATTCCTAGTTCCGTTTCTGAAACTTGAATGGCTGATCACGTTCGAATCATAACTATGATAACTCGGTTCGGTCTATCAAACTAATATTAGTCAGCGCTGGCGTTCGCCAATTAATAAGTTTGCGGTCGACTGGGCTCAATCAAGAGCACAGTCACAAACGTGAATTCTAGTTTTGTCACCAAAAGATATGCTATTAATTACGTTACTGGCCGTGGGTCAGTTCGTACCACGTACCGACACCCACTCGTGTATTATCTATATTTTCCACGTATTGCTCATGTCTCTGATGTCACGGCTCTCCTTATAAATAAATAAAAGTATATAGAAATGATACAGATGCTCTGGACGTTCCAATGACTTGCGGCATTTGATACCAGAGTCTTCAATGACCATATAGAGTAGATATTATCATATAGTAAAGTTAGTAGTAGTAAAGTTGCAGCCTATTTACGTCCCACTGCTGGGCACAGGCCTCCTCTCATTTCTGAGAGGGTTTTAGGGCAAGGAAATGTCCGCCGCGCTGCCCCAATGCGTGTTGGCGAACTTCACATGTCTTCGAAATAATTTTTTTCTTATTTCTCAGACATGCAGGTTTCCTCACGATGTTTTCCTTCACCGCCGAGCACGTGGTAAATCAGCACTTAAAATTGCAATTAACAATTTCATTGGTGCCGGCGGGGATTGCACCCGGGTTGCTCGAGTACTGTGAGAAGCTTACAGCGAGCGCTAACCATCTGAGCTACCACGGCTCTTATTATCATATACCTATATATTATTATAATACTGTTCAGTTTAATGCATTAATAAATGTATGCGATACGATACGAGGCATATAATTAGTTTAAAAATAATATACTAATTAATATTAGGGAAATTTGCACATTACTAATATGAAATGGATAATTTATTTAGCGACCGACTGCCGCATCAGTGTCGCTAGAGCGGTAAACAGCCGTGGAGATTTAAAAGGCACGTCCGTTTCTGACGACGGGCACATTATTAAAAGCACGAAACACGTAACATAACACTTTGTCCCGGTAACGGATATCGGGCGTATGCAGGTAAACAGCGATTAGCGTGACGGATGCCCACGCGGATACAAATGGCTGCGTCGCTTGAGACGGATGGCCGGCCGGACCGCCCTCGCCGCCCGCCCTCCGCGCGCTTTATCGCGTTAATTACTATCCGATCACTTCTGTCTGTTCCCGTGTGTATGTATGTGAACCTGCTTCTACCTTCTTTAGCATCCTAACTGAATTGACTGATACAGGAGTTCGTGATACGTTTAATAGCATCGTAGCATTTTTATACGGAGAGGTTGTTTAGCAAGAAGCAAGATTACGTAGCACAAATAATAAAAAGAAATTCAAAAATTAATTTGTAGTTACATCATGTAATTTTTTACGCGTTTTTTTGCGGTAAATAACTTCAATTTCCGGATGTAGCTTATAGAATCGGCCGTGAAGTATAGAACGGATATGGAAGAACACTTTTTCAACTGTAAAGTTTTTCCTTCATTTCGACTTGCTCGGTTCTTATCTCATCTATACCTCGTGGGATTAAGTTTGTCACCATCAGACCATCAGAGTGCAAATCCTACTCGCACTTGTCCCGCTTTTTTATATCTATTGTTTAAATCAGTCGAAGCAATTCTAATAATATACATATAAAATACATAGTTACCTTCGATATAAATAATTTGGCGTTCAAACACGATGGTACGTATGTTTAAAAGTAAATATTTTTCATTATGTAACTATTTTTAATATTTACGTTAAGGTACCTAATATACAAGATGCAAAAAAAATGTTATTATATTGACTAAATAAAATTGGGATGAATTTGCAAATAATCGGGGAGTACAGAGGGTTGAGTGGTCGCGGGTGGGCAATAACCGGCCAAAACTAATATCATTTTTGTGATAGTGTGGAGCAAGCCGAGCGCGCTTCTCTCGCCATGTACTTTATGACTCAACAACCCTCATTTGCTAAACGAAAGGAGGCTCGGTGAGTCAGTATCTCGCTAGCGCCTATTTACTTTTAAGGGAGCGATTAAGAATATACAAGTAGAAGTAGTTACTAGATAGCAGTCAGTGAAAGGAACACCAGTGAATGCTGGCACAAAATGACAGCAGTGAACGTCTCGTTGAGATAAGTAAGGTAGAGGGTGCACTCGGCAATTGTAACGCGTATAACGAACGGCTCTCGAGTGCAGTGGCTTCCGCCGGCAGAACGCACCTTCATTACTACAAGCTGTCATAGCGTTGTGACAGAGACGACAACCTGCACAATATCTAATTTTACATACTGATAAAATGCACACATAAAATCCATGTTATGACCTCTCATAGCGTTAACATTTGAAATGAGAATGAATAACTAATCCGTTTGTCTTTATTTAACCATATCAACATGGATGTTATCAACCATATGCAGTTATATTGGCATGCAATATCGTATATTGGAAGCGTGTAAATCAAATAGGGTATCAAGAATACGTGCCGAGCGAGACATGCCGGTCGCTAATCGATCTATCGATCACATCTGATGTATTGGCGACACGCCGCCGACAGAGCGTGGTCAGTCAAACACGCATGCTATGCCGTACTCAACTATTTTACTATTGGCCGACCCCGCACGCGCTGCGACAAATCGACACACGGGGAAAACAATGAGAGAATCATTCGATGAATGACACGTTCACGCCGCACTTCGGAGCCACTTGTACACATGCAAGTGGGTGCCAAAATTGTTCATGATGTCAAACAGCGGCAGAAATAGAAACGACCAGTGAGACGTGCCAACTCTTCTACCTGTTATAAATAAATATAGACCTTTCATATAGAATGTGGAGCTATCTGTGGCACGTGGCCACGCTTTTTACTATTAGTCATTTAAATAAATCTTAGACTTTTTGATCACACATCTGTTTATGACGGTCGTCTGCTTATATCACTATGATTTTTAGCAAACTATATTTAATAGATATAGATATGTAGATTATTAGATATAAAGTAAACCAATTCCTATTTGGGCTGAGTAAATGTCTGTTTCACTGGATGTTGATAATAAGTTAATGAATTTGAGCATAACTAAGGTAGACAGTGCCGGTGCGTTTAAAAAAATAGTTCGATATGGATTTGCAATTTTTTTTTGATTTTGATTATATATTTGATACTAACAGGTTAGTTACATGATCCACAGGCATGAATCCGATTCCAGATGACACAAATAATTTTTCTGACAAGCTAGAACGAGGGAAATGTGAAATCTAATTTGTTAAATTTTGCGGCTGGAATGGAGAATTGGGTAAGTAAAGTCAATTCTGAAAGTAAGTAGAATTTGAATTTAAAATGATTTATAGAGGCGCAAGGGAGTGGCTAATGAGCCGTCACGCGAGAGGGGCTCGTGTTTACGCCTTGTGCTCGTCGCCACTTTTTATTTCAGCCTCTGGGCGGCGCCGTACGTCTCGGCCTTCCTAATGTTCACGTACCGCCGATTTAAACACGCCTACGCTCTTCGCTTGCTTACTTGTGTTATTAAATTTTGAATGTTTATTTCTTACAGTACAAAGAGTCAGTCAGTTAAAAAAT